GCCAGTAGGTGTCAACTATGGGACAGTTGCCTTTTCCAATTATAATATAAAACCAATGCCAGGCCTCCGGATTAATGGGCTCACCGGCTGTCCCTAAAAGCTTAAGTGAACTTAATTTATATTTTTGGACGTATTTGTCGCCAAACTTCATGAGCGATCGGATGACTGTCGGCGCCGTATAAAAGGTGTTGACCCGCAGGTCGTCTATTAATTGCCACAATCTGTCGGGGTTTGGGTGGAAAGGCGTCCCCTCGAGCAGTACGACTGTAGCGCCATTGGCCAGTGCGCCATAAACGCTAGCCGTGTGTCCGGTAATCCATCCCAAGTCGGCCGTACAGAAGAAGACGTCCCCATCGGTGTGGTTGAAGACATACTTGAATGTCGTGGCCGTGTATATCATGTAACCACCGGTGCTGTGGACCACACCTTTTGGCTTTCCAGTGCTACCACTTGTGTATAGTATGAAAAGCGGGTGCTCAGTGTCCAGCCATACCGGTGCGCAGTAATCATCAGCCATTTCCAAGGCCTCGTGCCACCAGATATCGACCTTATGGTCCCATTTGATTAATAAATGTGAACATTTGTTATTCATTTCATCCTGGTAGTTTATATCCACGTGCCGTTTTACAATGCAAGCTTTAATGCTATGTCCACTACATTAAAACAAAGTTAGCAAGCTTTTTAAAAATATCTTTATTTTTTGTTGTCTATTAGTAATACCTTTTATTACATAAAGTTATGGCTAAATCTGCTATACCTTTTAATGGTATAAATTTAGTACCCCGGTACGCTCCGTCACATGTAATTAGCATGACACAATTTGCATCTATTATGCGATCAGCTAAGGCTTCAGCCGAGAATCCAGCAAACTTTTAAAAATATATTTTTTCTATTAATTTATTGTACCGTATATTTTAAAATTAAACTAGGTCATGATATTTTATTAAACACTCACCACAACGGTATGTATGGCCCCTATGCGAGCGCAGCCTAACATTGCGGTCACCAATTCAATAGAGTTTGGCATATATATGGCGATTGTGTCGCCCATTTGAATTCCCAGCGATTTGAGGACATTTGCAAATTTACATACTTCTCGCAATAAATTATGATAATTTATTTGTCGTCTAGTATCTGGCTCATTGCCCTCCCTATGACACAAGATTTATCTAGTTAAAATTCTGAATGTTAAATGTAAAGTTTTTATATCATATACAAACCAATAATAGGCAATGTGATGACCAAGACCTTTATTAATATTCCTGTCCAGAATATTGTAGCACACGTTTGTCAGTGCGCCCTCCATAAATTTAATTGAAATAGGTCCTTTCAAAATGTCAAAGTTGAATTTTAAAACCCTTTGTTCGCTATATTTAAAAACAAAATCCTTTGCCATGTCCGACCAATAACTTGCAGGATCATTAATAGATTTCTTATACATTTGTCCATATTTTTCCATATTGTTTATATGGAATAAATTTTTTA